CAGAGGCAGAGGATTTGGGAGAATGGGATTGTATTTTTACAGGAGGGTGGGTGAGAGGAGGTGTAGTCGAGGTAGCTTTGGAAGTTGGTGTGTTTGAAATGGATGTCAGTGCTAAGCCAGTTGTCAGAGATGGAGATGGAGAGGTCCAGGAAGGGGAGGGAAGTGTCAGGTGGTCCAGGTGAATCTTGAGGTCATTGGTGAAAGGCATTGGTGAAGTGGATGATCTGTTTGAGCTCCTTGTGGGAGCACAAGGCAGCACCGATACAGTCATCAATGTAGCGGACGAAGAGGGGAGGGATGGTAACGGTGTACTTGCGGAAGAGGGACAGTTCCAGCATCCTACGAAGAGGCAGGCATAGCTTGGGCCCATGCGGGTGCCCAGAGACACCCCTTTGGTTTGTAGGAAGTGGGAGGAAAAATTGTTGAGGGTGAGGACTAGTTCTGCCGAGCGAATGAGAGTGTTGGTGATGTGGAACTGGTTGGGCCTCCGGGAGAGGAAGAAATGGAGGACTTCTGGACCCTCTGAATGGGGGATACAAGTGTAGAGAGACTGAATGTCCATGGTGAAGATGAGGTGTTGGGGGCTGGGGAATTGAAAGTCTTGGAGAAGGTGGAGGGCGTGGGTAGTGTCCCGAACGTAGGTGGGGAGTTCCTGGACCTGAGGGGAAATAATGGAGTCTTGGTAGGAGGAGCTGATCTCGGTGGGTGAGGAGCAGGCAAAGACAATGGGTCAACTGGGACAGTTGAGTTTATGGATTTTCGATAGGAGATAGAATGGTCGGTGTGTGGTTGGGGAATTTTCAGTGTGGAGGTTGTGGATTGGAGATATCCTGAGGTGATGATGTTATTGATGGTCTGGGAGATGCTGGTTAGGTGATCATGGATGAGGTCATGATCAAGGGGACGGTAGGAGGAGGTGTGGGAGAGTTGGCGTCTGGCCTCAGCGATGTAGCGGTCAGTATGCCATACTACCACCGTGCCCCCTTATCGGCAAGTTTAATAGTGAGGTTGGGCTTGGAGCAGATGGAGGGGAAGGCTGCATATTCCGATGAGGAGAGGTTAGAGTAGTGAGAGGGGTGGAGAGTTTAAGGCGATCGATGTCGCAATGACAGTTAGAGATGAGGGGGTCGAGGGAGAGTAGGAGGTTGGGTGGTAGTGTCCAGGAAGATGTGGTTTGTTGGAGGGCGGGAGAAGGGGTCTGCAGAAGGTGTGTTGGATTCCCGTTCGAAAAGATAGGCGCGGAGGCAGAAGCAGCGGAAAGCATTCGCTATCTAGACATGTGCAGAATTTATTGATGTGTGGGTGCAGGGGAATGAAGGTGAGTCTGCTGCAGAGGACTGACCGTTTGTCTTCAGTGAGGGGGAGGTCGAGGGGAATGATGAACACCTGGCAGGGCTTGGTGCTGGGGTTTAGTGTTAGGCTGGAGCTGGGAGTGGGGGTGGAGACAGCCTCTGGAGTGGGTATGTATATGGGAACAGTCACGTGGGAGGAAGCAGAAGTAGTGATGAGGTCAGCGGCATTAGCAGAAGAAGCGTAGTCAGTAGCGTCAGCAGAAGTGATGTGGTCAGTGTGTGAGTGGGAGCGGCCGGGGCAACCGTGTCGTTAATGGTGCAGTGCGGATCCAGGAGAAGGTCCAGCCCTCCCTCTCATCCCCGCCTCCTCCTTGGCCTGACACAACCTCTCCATCTTCCTTCTCACCAATCCATTCCATCCATCCCACTGACCAATCTCCAAAACCCCCTACATGCATCCACCGATCACCAACCCACCTACCTTCTCCCAGCCCCGCCCCCCACCATTTATTTCTAAGCTCCCTTTCCCCTCCCCAGTCCTGATGAAGGGTCCAGACCCAAAACATTGACTTTTCTGCTCTTCAGATGCTGTCTGACCTGCTGTGCTCCCCCAACTCCACATTTTATCGACCAAAACTAAAAGGCTTAGGTTTAGGGTGAGAGGGAAAAGATTTAAAAAGGACCTGATCGGCAACTTTTTCACACAGAGGGTGGTGCGTGTATGGAATGAATTGCCAGAGGAAATGGTAGAGGCTGATTCAATTACACCATTTAAAAGACATTTGGATGATACATGGTTAGGAGAGGTTTGGAGGGATATGGGCCGAATGCAGGCAAATGGAACTAATTCAGTTTAGGAAACCGGGTCAGCATGGACACTTTCGGCCCGAAGGGTCTGTTTCTGTGCTGTATGACTCTGTGACTCATTGCTCTCTTTGGGTGCTATTGCCATCCCACAGTCCACTCAACAAAAGGGTAGGCTCCTGCCTTTCATCCATTAATGAGACTTCATCTCTTATGGAAAAAATATCAATCCTGAATCTGTAAATACCACATTGTCAACCACTCTATTTCAAATCCTGAAACCTTGTGGCCTATGTTTCTTTTGCCAATCACCTCAGTCTGGCTTCTCTGGTTATCAACCTGTCAGCTATTAGAAACAATTTCTGTTTATTTAAACCCTTCATGATTTTAATACACATCTATCAAATCTGCTCTTGGCTTTACAGCAACCAACCCCAGCTTCACTTGTCTTATCTCTGAAAAATCTGAATTCTAGTAAATTCTAGTAAATCATGTCTGTACCCTCTGAAAGGTCTTCAAATCTTTCTAAAGCATAGTTCCCAAAATTAGTTACAACGCTCCAGATGGAGGTGAACAAACATTTTATTTAGGTTAAATATAAATTCATGGCTTTTCTGGTATATGTCTCAATTTATAAAGCCCCAGATCCTATTATTAAAACTGCTGATTAAAACTGACTTAACATTGAACAATATAGACCTCTCCAGACAAATGTATGATCACCAGATCAGGAACAGTTCTCCAAATCTTACATTGAGGTTTGAAATGTTATTCTTGTTATTCTTGCTTAAAGAAATACCAAATCGACAACATGTGCCTAAGTACAGCCATGTATATCTGTATTGGACTAAATTATTACTTTGGTAATGGGCAATACTATATCATGTCTCAGGGTCAGGATGGAAGTATACCTTTCAGAGGCATGCTTGTGATAGTGTTAATCTATTTCAGCATGTAACCAAAGGGTATAAAAGGCTAATACTCATCTTACCTCAGATCATTTGAAGCATGGCACACTACTGAAAACATGCCCCTCTTTTGTAAACATATTAGCTTAATATTGACCAGTATTTATTTGCCCAAGGAATGTAAAGTTTGTACATAATAGTTACCTGCAATCAGAGTCATTAGATTCCTCAATACCATATCTATGTCCATTTTCTTATGTTATGAGAGCTAACATGAGCATTGCTGCAATCAGGTAAAATACTTTGTTGGAGGGAAGCTCACAACATCCATTTTTGTCTATTTTATCTTGTCATACTCCTCATTTACTTTAGCTTTGGTAAAATCTTCTTCATTGGTGCATTGATGCAAAGTATTTATTTAATACCTTAGCCATGCTTTCTGCTTACAACAATGGATATCTATTTTGGTTCCTAATTGACCCTACTGTCCCTGACAAACATTTACAGTGAATTAATTACCTTTGGATTCCCTTTGTGTAAGCAGATCTTGCTTTAGGTTTCCAGTTGCTCTCTAATTTTGGTGTGGAGGGGAGACAGGTACTGTCTGTCAGTGAATGGAAATGGAACAGTAATTTGAAAATTCTTGAAATTATTAAAAATAATGTTACAGCAATTTTTTTTGCATTTTGAGTTTCACATCAAAACTCAATTTTAAAAAAATGTAGCATATGGTTGACTTTGTTCCCGTAATTAACTTTAGATGATCACTCAGTACATGAGCAGAGATTTCCATCACGGCTATAAATCTTAAAAGGTGGCATTGATGTCTCAGTTAAATGGGCTGTATCCTCCATCATATCCGCCACTGACAAAATAAAAGTACAGAGACTGCAGTGTCAATAACGAAATAAAGAAACAGTATTCTAATGAGAATGAATTCACTGACAACTCAAAAGTGCAGCTAAGGTTAGTTGAGAAGCTTGAGATCTCAGTATTATAGTACATAATGCTCTTAAGATTCAAGAACATTACCAGGTAACAAATTGCAAAACAAATCTACAATTAGATTATATTACAAGGACAATTCTATATAAAGCAAACCACACAAGGTGCAGTTCTTGTATTCCTGGCTCAAATCAAGTGGGCAAAATATTAAAATCACCAGGGACATTCACTTACCTTCTTTCAAAAATCCTGTTTAGTGGTTTTTAACTTCTTTTGATCATGAAAGAGGCACATTAGCATCTCAGTGTCATTTTAACTAAAGGCCTGATCTAGGAAATCCTTGAGACAGTGAAACCTGTTACTGGCCCATGCTGTGTATTGATTCAGTGCATATTTTGAAACAAGAGCTTGACCGTTTTCTGCTTTGATTGTCTACAATGGTTGAAGAGAAGTTTTTCCTCTCTCTCAGTGGCTTTGAATATTTTATCCTTCTTTTCACTTCTTTCAGAAGATTCCTTGGCCTGCTGATGGGAGCAGCATGTTATGAATCATGATGAGTAGGGCATCATTGCTTTGTAAAGTAGAGCCAGTAGGCCAGCTGGTTCCCATTTTTGCATGTTCTTAGAACAGCTGAAACATGGAAAACATTTTAAAAGGACTTCCTTGGGCCCAAACCAAAACTGGGAAGATTCAAGGAAGTGTGAAGGGGTCGGGTCGGTGAGGCTGGAGGAGTGATAGAGGGTGGTTTTGCTGAGGGTGGGGTGTATTTTGGAAGTGAGGAGTGTAGAGGATCAGAATCGTGAATGGAAATGAAATTCAAAGGGAGGTTACATGGGTTGCTAATTTGTTATCGAGTGTCTTATGTTTTTGCACAAAGTCAGTATTTACCTCTATGTTTGAAATCACTCTCATCTTCATAAAAGTTGCCTTGGTCGAATCTATTCAGAACAAAGCTAGGTTTGGTTGAGGTTGGTTTTCAATTTGTTTTGATCTTTTTTTTTGCTCTGTGCTTTGTCCTCTCTAATTTTCCGGTGTATTTCATTAATTCCAGCCTCTTCATTGCTCTATATCCAAACTGATGAGCTGCAGGAAGCTCTCACATCTCATTGTGTAGTGACTCGAGGAGAAACAATTGTGCGACCTAATACAGTAGAGAAAGCTACTGATGTCAGAGATGCGACAGCCAAGGCTTTGTACGGTCGTCTGTTCAGCTGGATAGTCAACCGCATCAATACCTTACTAAAACCAGAGACGTTTCTGAGGTAATAACATCATCAATCATTTTTGCTCTGTTAAACTGACTTGCTATAAATGGTGAATTGATGAATAATAACACTACTTTCTAGGAAGCTACCTAGACTTATTCATTTCTGAGGCATGTCCTTCATGCTTGCGTGTTTAGGTTAAACTGTCTTTCAATCAAGGGAAGGAAAAATATTCATATCAGTCTTTGCTGTTTGCAAGATCTTCTTGTAAGGGTCATGTATTAAAATACTAATCCCGCATGAACTGCACAGTACAAGTGTTACAGGTGACAAATGAATCTGCAAACCAATTGCAACATTGACCTCAAATGTTTGTAATACAACGTATGTTGAAAATAGTCCCACATTTCAGTATTGGGAAATAATGAATATGGTGGTATGCATATGGGGTGTTTTAGCATGCAGTAGTTAGATTTTTATTCCTATTTGTTCAGTTAAAATATGTCTCAAATTATTCTAGCTTTCTTAAGTCTTAATTTATTACAGGTGGATTACAGTGTAGAACAATTACCATCAAGCTCTCTTGCAGAATGATTGTGTACATCAACAGGATGTTTTAAAACATGGGCTGTGTCATGGTCACAGGCCAAATTCAAAATCATTCGGTGTTTAAAGAAGACATAAGTATAACTAAATGAAAAGCACTAAAATTATTTCAATATGAGCAAAGTATCCCAGATTACTGGTTTGATGGACCAAAAATAAAAGAAAAACAGTTATTTTTGATTATTGTAGATGAGGCTGATGATATTGACACTCGTCATCAGATTTTCCTGAATGTTTTTTTTAACCACGATAAAAAGTCTTTGGAAAACAGCCTGTAACAAAATGCTCTTTCAATGGTCTCATTGTGCCATATGCCTGGAGTCCCAGGGTGATGAATGGTGGACCTGTAGCCATGTCGTTACAGACAGCACTGAATAGGGATAAGCTGTCATGTAGAGATGATATAGAGAAAGTCAGTATGCGTATTATTACAGTAAAATCTATACCAAATGAACTCCAGGCTTCTAAGAAAAGGAGGAGAAATCAGAAATGGTAAATAAGCTCATCAAAAGGATTTTAATTATACTTGCCTACTGAGAGTGAGTGAAGTGACTTTAAAAAGTGTTCATTCTTACTGATCTATTCCTAGCTTATTTATTCCTGCTGGCCAACATTGTCATGCTTCCATGTGGTTGAGGTGCCTATTAGAAGTAGTTGGGAGCCCATATATGTACATATAATATGTGTGTATATATAGATATATAATATTCCATATATAACTGAGGTCCATTACATCAAAGAATATGTGATCACATTTTAATTAACACAAACGTGAGCAAAGATGGTCAGGGTGCTACTTTAGATCACACAAGAAAAGTTGCAATCTCCCCTGCCTCAGGCTACCTGTTCCCTTCCTTCCCACCAGATCACACCAGGCCCTTTCTGATCCCTTGCCTGGTTTGGCAGATCTCCGCTCACCTGATCTCCACTCACTATCTGCCCCTTTCTGCCCATCAAATGTGAGCAACCTACGATGGCAGTGCCTGGGCCTCTGAATGTGTTTTCCACGCATTTAGTGCCACTACCATGATCACCCTACCACTTCATACAGCCACAAGGATAAATTCAACCCAGTGTCTTGGTCTTCTTTCTCAAATGATGTTCAATCAATTCATATGTCAGAAAAAATTAATTAAAACCTAATTTATTTGTCTTCTAGTGACAATGCTGACAGTGCAGACAGAGGAATCGATATTGGAATTCTTGATATTTTTGGCTTCGAGAACTTTAAGAGAAATTCTTTTGAACAGTTATGCATTAATATTGCCAATGAACAGATTCAGTTCTACTTCAATCAACACATCTTTGCATGGGAGCAGGTACAAGTCAGTCTGTTTTCTCAAATGGCCTGTTAATCTTGTCTGAAGACAAGGGTTTATTTTAAAGGTGCCATAATTGAATTAAATCTTACATTAAACAACACTTTATAGGTGTTTCAGTTATGAGAAGACATTAATTGAAGGAAACATTTAAGAAAAGAAGCTTTCATGTTTATTTTATGGCTTTCACCCTTGGGACATCTGTAATTCACCTTAGGAAGGTAGTGGTGAGCTATCTTCTTCAACAGCAGCCGACCTTGTGGTGTAGGATGGCAGGGTAGGGATACTCACAATGCTATTATAGATGGATTTCCAGGATTTTCTCCCAGCAACACTGAATGAACGGCGATATATTTCCAAATCAGGATGGTGAGGAATTGGAAGGGAACTTTCAGATGGTGGTTACCCATGTGTCTGCTGCCTTTGTCCTTCTAGATGGTAATGATCATGAGTTTGGGAAATGCTGCTTAAGGACCTTTGGTGAATATGTCTGCAGTGCATCAACATTGTAGATGATGCGTATTGCTGCCAGTGTACATTGGGAGTGGAGGGAGTGAATGTTCAAAGTGCTGGATGGTGTGCCAATCGAGCCTGACACTTTGTCCTGGTTAGTTGAGTGTTGCTGGTGCTGCACCCATCCAGGCAAGTTGAGAGTATTCCATCATACTGACTCGTTCCTCACAAGGAAACAGCAAAGATGCCTATACCTGCTCATGATTTGCTGCATGTAAGTCACATCAAGGAGGTCAGAATTGGAACTGAAAGGACTGCAGATGCTGTAAATCAGGAACAAGAACAGAAGTTGCTGGAAAAGCTCAGCAGGCCTGGCAGCAACCGTTCTGAGGAAGGGTCACCGGACCCGAAATGTTAACTCTGTTTTTTCCTTCACAGGTGCTGCCAGATCTGCTGAGCTTTTCTAGCATCTTGTGTTTTAGGTCAGAATAGGAACCCGGGCATTTATTTGCTTCTGGGTAATCACAGGAACCACCAGGAGATATGTTGGCAGTAAATTCCATGGTAGATCTGAGAAACCCACTCTTGGAGAGGGTTGGAAAACTCTTGAAGCAACTTCAGGTTTGACTCAGTTGCAGCAGTGGGCCCTGCTGGGAGTCAGCCCTATGTATTGTGTGTACTCAAACTGTAATATGGCTTTGGCACCATGGCATTTCTAACTATTTCATTACCGAGCCAGCTCCATGCCAGTTATGCAAAATACATATTGTTGGATTAATCAGATTCAGTACCTCAGACAATTGTCAGAGTTAAATGGTCAAACATAGGTCTCCAGTGCAATACAGTCAAGTACAACACCTTCTTTCAATATAACTAATTCATTACTCAATGTTCAAGTGAGTCAAATACTTAACAGACTTTTAAGTGACTCTTGGATAGGCACATGGAGGATAGTAAAATGTAGGGTATGCAGGGTAGATTGATCTTAGTAGGATAATAGGTCCGCACAACATTGTGGGCCGAAGGGCCTGTACTGTTCTATGTTCTATGTTCTGATTGCATCCTAGATTTAACCATGCAAAATCACAAGATTTAAGAATTTTCCATTAATTCGAAAATTAACTTAACAACAAACAGGTTTTGTGCTGGATTTCCTTAGATTGTGGGAGACTTAGTGGAACTGTACAGCTAGCAGTCAGGAAGGAACTGATTCCAGGATTCCCAACTTTATTCCCAAATTCCCCAATTTTAACCAATACAAATTAAGGGTGCAGACTAGTTAAGGTCAGAAGCTTACACTCTGCACTCCCAACCTGGCCAGCGCCATTGCGTGGGTATTGGCAACTGCTAGACCCCCATAATTTTCATAACATGGGGTTACCTGTTAATTCTCAAAGCTCACGGCTCTTCAGAGCTGTTGAGAATTCTTGTTTGGATGATCAGATTTGATTCTGGAGATCTGAGATCACAGATTCTTCCATAATCTCTGGATTACTACTTGAGCCTTGAGCAAATTGGCACAGAGGGGGTTGGGAGTGTTCAATTACATGGAAAATTATGGAAAAAGTTAAAGGTGGCAAGGGCACAGGTGAGATTATTAACATTTCCAGAACAAGTAATAGAACAGAGAATATAGAAAGTCCCAGAAATCTAATTTCAGGTGTCACTGGAAAAGCTCAGCAGGTCTAGCAGCATCTGTGAAGAAAAAATCTGATGGTGGCTGGGAAAACGTCAGTTTATATGCAGAAAGTAGGGAGGGGGTGGGATAGGGAGTAAACGATTGGATAGAGCCTAAAGAGAGAGAAGAACAGTTGGACAGACAAAGGAGTTGCTAACGATCAGGCTGGGAGGGTGAATAGTTGTTAACGGGGACCGTTAGTGACTAACAACAGAGGGTGTGTAATGGTAGGCTATGTAATAACAGGATGTGGTGGGTGGGGTAGGGGGCTGGGACATGGGAGAGTTTAGGACCTAAAATTATTGAACTCGATATTGGGACCAGAGGGCTGCAGGGTCCCCAAGCAGAAATGAGGTTTTGTTCTTCCAGCTTGCACTGATCTTCTCTGGAAAACTGCAGCAAACCAGAGACAGAGAGGTTGGCCAGGGAATGGGTTGGTGCGTTAAAGTGGCAGGCAACTGGAAGCTCCGGATCATTTTTGTGAGCAGAACGTAGATGTTCTGCGAAGCAGTCACTCAGTCTATGTTTCGTTTCCCCAGTGTAGTGGAGACCACATTATGAGCAGCGAATGCAGTAGACTAGATTCTGGGAAGTGCAGGTGAAGTGTTGCTTCACCTGGAAGATATGTTTGTGCCCTTGGATACTGGGGAGGGAGGAGGTAAATGGGCAGGTGTTGCACCTTCACCGGTTACAGGGGAAGGTGCCGTGGGGCAGTGGGGGTTGTTGAGGACCCTGCAGCCCTCTGGACTCAATATTGAGTTCAATAATTTTAGGGTCTAAACTCTCCCATGACCCAGCCCCCTACCCCACACACCAGGCCTAGTTATCACATAGCCTGCCATGACACACCACCTATTGTTAGTCACTAATAGTCCCCATTAATAACTATTCACCTTCCCAGCCAAATCGTTATCAACTCCTTTGTCTGTCCAACTGCTCTTTTCGCTCTTTAGGCTCTATCCTATCGTTTACTCCTCACCCCATCCCCACCCTATTTTCTGCATATAAACTGACATCCCAGCTACCATCAGTTCTGAGGAATGGTCACTGGACCCAAAACAGTAACTTTGATTTTTTCTTCACAGATGCTGCCAGACCTGCTGAGCTTTCCCAGCAACTTCTGTTTTTGCTCCTGATTTACAGCATCCGCAGTTCTTTCAGTTTTTATCTAATTTCAGGCACAGCAGATAAGGGAGGCAGTCAATGCAGAACCGACAGTGTTGTATTTAAATGCACACTGTTTACAAAACAAGGTAAATGAGCTTGTAGCACAGGTTGAAATTGGCTGTACAATGTTGTACAGATGTGGCTGCAAGGAGTCAGGGCTGGGAATTAAATATCCTATCGAAATGACTGGCAGATAGGCAGAGGGGGCGGGCTTGCTTCGTTTGTCAGAAATGAAATTTAGATCAATAGCAAGAGGTCATATAAAGTCAGAAGGAGTAGAATCTGTGTGGGCAGAGGTGAAGAACCTAAAGGAAAAAGGACCGTGAAAAGATTTGTGTACAGGCCTCCAAGCAGTAGTCAGTATGTAGGCAATAAAACAAATCAGGAGATAGAAAGACATGTAAGAAAAGCAACATTACAATAATCACAGGAGACTTCAGTGTGCAGGTGGACTGGGAAAATCAGGTTGGTAGCTGATTTCAAGAAAAGGAATTTGTGAAATGGCTACAAGACTTTTTTTTTAATGGAGCAGCCTGTGTTAGAGCTGACTAAGGAACAAACAGTTCTGGATTTGATGTGTAAGGACGCAGACTTGATTCGAACGCTCAGGTGAAGGAGACCCTACAGAGCAGTGACCATAATCTGACAGAATTCACCCTGCAAGCGAGAATCCGAAGTAACAGTATTACAATTGAGTAAAGGTTACTACTAAGACATGACGGAGGAGCTAGCCAGAATTGGTTAGAGGATCCTAGCAGGGAAATCAGTGAAGCAGCACTGGCAGGAGATTCTGGGAGTAATCTGGGAGGCACAGCAGAATTAATCCCAAGGAAGAAGCAACACACTAAGGGGGAAGACAGGCAACCATGGCTGACAGGGAAATTAGGGACTGTTTGTTTTTGGGATATGCACATTATTGTTGAGGCCAGCATTTATTGCCCATCTCTAATTGGTCCCAAGAAGGTGGTGGTGACAGGATAGCTGTATTTGCTGGACATCCATACTGCTGTTAGGAAGGTAGTTCCAGAATTTTGACCCAGTGACAGTGAAGGAACAGTAGTTTAGTTCCAAATTAGGATGTGGAGGGGCTAAATGGGAGCTTGCATGTGGTGGTGATGTTCCCATCCATCCGCTGCTTGTCCCAGGTGAGGAAGTGGCTGTAGGTTTAGAAGGTGCTGTTGAATGAACCTTAATGAGTTGCTGCAGTATATCTTGTAAATGGTACACACTGGTGTCATTATTCAATGATGGTGCCAGGAGTGAATATTGAAGGTGTTGGATGGAAATCCAATCAAGAGAGCTGCTTTGTCCTGGATGGGGTTGAGTTTCTTGTGTGTTACTAGAGCTGTACCATTCAGGCAAGTCGAGAGTATTCAATCACACTCCCTGGCAATGTCATTGAGGATTCAGTTCTTGGCCAATGGTGAACCCCCCAGGATGCTGACAAATTCAGGGATGAAAATGCCATCAAACGTCACAGTTGGATTCTCTCTTGCTGGAGATGGTCACTGCCTGACATGCAAAAGGCGTAAATGTGACTCAATATTAACAATAAAGGTCTGGTCTTTAGTCTCTGAATGTAACATTGAGTCCACAAAGCTGTCAAATGCCAAGACAAAGCATGAGATACTATTCCTTGAGCATGTGTTGAGCTTCATCAGAGCATAGCATTTGCCACCAATATAGAAGTCAGAGACGAAGCAAAGTGATGACTTAAAATGATGAGTGATACAAAACTCAGGCTCATGTTTATGGATTGAGTGGAGATATACCATAAAGTAGACACCCATCTTGTGTTTGCTCTTGCTGGCGTAGAGGAGGCCACATCTTTTCTTTTTATTCATTCACGGGATGAGGGCATCACTGGCTAAGCAGCATTTATTGCCTATCCCTAATTGCCCTGAGGGCACATAAGAGTCAACATTGCTTTCGTATTAGCTTATTACACTAGTTTAAATCAGGATCAACTTAAACTGTCACCTGATAGATGCCCATGAAGCAGACTACTAAAAGTTACGTACAAATAACACTTTGAAATATGTTTAACTGTGATCTAGGCAAAGTTGACTTAATATGGACTGTCATTCCAGAATCTCTCCGAGGACAGCAAAAATATCAAATGTGATGGAAGCAGTTTAGAAACTAATAAAGAAGTTAATGCAAAACTGGAGCAGTAATGTGCTGCTGTATCTGATGTTCACCTTCAAAGGATTGGAAACATTGACTGACCTTTCTAAGTAGCTCTGTTTTTATTGCAGACAGAATACAGATGATAGAAATGCCTTGTTTTTGTGATGTTAATGTATTAATTGAAGTTATCTGCTTTACAAGGTCTAGATGTCCCTGGGAGTTTGAAAGGCCATTTGTCCTTTAAATTGTTACAGCATCAATCATTTAGTACAAATTGTTGATTTATGAAAAGAGACCAAGAAAATCTTTGGCAAGGTTCCTTGCAGATGTTTACAAATGTGCAATGAAACTATACAAATTTTGTTGACATTCCCATCACATTTACAAGTGATGTCACCATGACAAAGTGACAACGTTAGGGGTAACTTTTAACCCCAAAAGCTGGTGGGTATGGATTGGCAAGAAGTCAAAATTTTTCATCTCAAGTTGGCCTTGAAAAATATCTGATTTTAACAGAGGCCAGATAAGGAGTTGTAATCAATCACCTCCCAAGAAGCATATTATAAACTGGAGGTTGACCTCGTCTGAGAACTAAAACCAAAACACCCAAAAAGGAGCATCTAGCTCTATAATCTGTAAAAGGAGTGTGAAAAGTGGTGTAACCTGCCTTTCAGCAATTTGTAATAGTTAAATAAATAAACCACTAACATTCACTTTATGATCAACAAGTAACAGTTTATTTATGTAACTCTAACAGTGAACAAATTAACTAAAATATTAATAAACTGAATAAATCCCTTCTAACTACTAACTATTCCCGAACAGAACAAGATTCTAATAGTATCATAGAATCCCTACAGTGGGGAAACAGACCCTTCGGCCCAACAAGTCCACACTGACCCTCAGATCATCCCACTCAGACCCATAGCCTTATAACCCACCAAATCTACACATCCCTGAACACTAAGGACAATTTAGCATGGCCAATCCACCTAGCCACATCTTTGGACTGTGGGAGGAAACTGGAGCACCCGGAGAAAATCCACGCAGACACAGGGAGAATGTAGATAGTCGCCCAAGGGTGGAATTCAACCTGGGTCCCTGGTGCTGTGAGGCAGCAGTACTAACCACTGAACCACTGTGCCACCATAAATCCCGTTTATAAGATAAAATTTTAAAAAATAGAATTTACTCTCTCAATTACAACCAAGTTACATGTCTTCTGGAATGTTATCTGTCGAATGTTTTGTCGGGAACACCTTCTCCATCCATCCTTCTGTCAGAAATATTAACTAGTTGTGCCCTTGGTACCTTTTGATTTAGGTAGTGTTTTCTCTAAGACTTGGAAGACTGAGAGCCATCAATTCTCTCTTGTGAGCGAGAGCAGTTAACTCTAGCAGATGGCAATTAACTCTCCTGACTTTGCCCAACTGCCCCTTTTTTATACCCTTGATGACCTATCAATATTTCTTACAATAGGATTGGTCCTATGTTGTCAAATCCGTCAGATTTCAACTTAATCAGATTTTGGTATCTAAGTGCATGGTTCAAATTGGTTGGCTAAATTCAAAACCTTATTGTTTCGGTAAAACTGCAGCTTGGCCTGCTATCTGTATGGCCTTTTGATAAAAATGTTTCAACTCAAGTGCTCTCTGTGCACCTGCAAACCCAAAAGCTGCTGCCCACAGACATCTTTTACATCCTTTTTTTTGAATCTCTAAGCATAAAAAGCACATATTTTAAAGGGACCGTGCACTGCTTTCATCCCTTGCATTTTACAAACACCAAATTCTAACTTTGTGTCTCTCAATCCACAAGACTCTACTCAACTTTGCAATACATGTCATTTATTTAGGAATTTAATCTGTCAGATTTTATGTCTCTTCCATCTTTAACACTAGCCAGTTGGTTTCTGAACCTTGGAACACCCAATACCTAAAAGGAGATAGGTCCTGCAGTACATTTCTCCAGCACCACCTCCATGCAAAGTGGAGCAAAAGTCCTCTCCTCCACACAAACCATCCTTGACATTGGACTATCCTCACAATTTAAACTCAGGTTCCTTAATATTTCCCCACAACACCAACATCTCCCAACCATTCACCTTTCCTGTGATCACTGAACCTTTATCGGAGTCTGATCTTTCTTTGATCCCCACGGTCAACATCCCCTCCTGACACTCTGAGCCACAGTGGATGTATACCCATCCCTTGCAACGTCTGCACCAGGAGTGACAGACCTCCCCCTTGTAAATTCACCCAAGCAGAGAGCAGGATCATTAATTCTCTAGGCCCTTCTCTCTTGTACCAAAATAATAAAACCTGCCAAATACTTCTTCAACTACTATTGTGCCCTTTAAATAACATATGCCAGATTTACACACTAAGATTTCATTTGGAGCACCTGTAGTGAGGAAAAGAATGGGATTACATTGACATGTATTCTTTTCTGAAATGATACTCTAGAATGAATATCTGAATGAAAATGTGGATGCCCGCCTAGTTGAATATGAAGACAATCGACCACTGTTGGATATGTTTCTGCAGAAACCTGTGGGCCTTCTGTCACTGCTCGATGAAGAAAGTCGCTTTCCTCAAGCCACTGACCAGACACTTGTAGGCAAGTTCTCATAGAGTAGAACACTCTGCAATCTCTAGGTAATAAAAAAGAAGCCCAGCAATATTTTCTTTACAGGAGACATCAATAAGATAGTGCACTTGTTTTGACAAGTTTCAAAGTCATTTTATCACAGTATCTCAGACACGCCTCAGATTCTAAATATACTTTTGTTCTTAAGTTTCAAACAATCAGACAACTATATTAACAAAATGCACTTTGTCAACAGGAAAGTTTGAAGACAATCTGAAATCAAACTATTTCTGGAGACCAAAAACGGTTGACTTAAGCTTTGGAATTAATCATTATGCAGGAAAGGTGAGTGGCAGTCATGCATCAAAATATTTGCAAGATTACTGCTCAACACATTGGAAAGAGCAGAGGGCTCAATCTCAAATGGTTCAATTAATCAGGCAATCATCATGAATGGCTGGCATGAGGATTTTGTAGTACGCTGATAGTATCCCTCCTTGCCAACCAGAAGGAGGGGGGAGGGGCATAGTGGCTCAGTGGTTAGCATTGTTTAGCATTGCTGCCTCACAGCACCAAGGGTCTGGGTTGAATTCCAGCCATGGGCAATTGTCTGTGTAGAGTTTGCATGTTCTCCCTGTGTCTTCACGGGTTTCAGTTGGGTGCTCCAGTTTCCTCCCACAGGCAAAGATGTGCAAGTTAGGTGGGTTGGCCATGCTAAATTACTCATAGTGTTCATGGATGTGTAGCATAGGTACATTTCCCATGGCTAATGCAGGATGGGGTGCAGTAATGGGGTGCAGTAGGGAGATGGGTCTGGATGGGAGGGTTTGTGTACATTTGATGAGCCAAATGGCCTGTTCCCAACTGTGGGTTTCTATAAATAAGGTCTGGGTTCAAGTTCAATCTGTTCTGGAGATGTGGGTGGCATGGTGGCTCAGTGGTTAGCACTGCTGCCTCACAGCACCAGGGACCTGGGTTTGATTACACCCTCAGGTGACTGTCTGTATGGAGATTGCATATTCTCCCTGTGTTTGCTTGGGTTTCCTCCCACAGTTCAAAGATGTGCAGGTTAGATAGATTGGCCATGCTAAACTGCCCATGGTGTTCAGGGATGTGTAGACTAGGTGGATTAGTCATGGTGAATACAGGGATAGGGTAGGGGATTGGGTCCGGGTGGGATGCTCCTAGGTGGATTGGTGAGGACTTGATGGGCCAAATGGCCTGCTTCTAAGCTGTAGGGATTCTATGTGATGTACCATGTTAGAACAGGTTGATGAATAATGTCTTTTGAATGGATGGCCATAGACATCACAACATCTCACCACAGGATTGTTTCCTGCTGATTGCCATAGCTTTCTGCTCTTTCTTCCATCCAAATCTTTCTGGCACAGAGTCTCAGCCCTGAGATGTTTATATATGCCTGTAGCTTGAGCACCTACATTGTGGGTATTCAAGGACCTCAAGCTCATTGTCACTGAACCAGCAAATTGCATATTATTGCTGGCAGCCTATGAAATAGGATTAACAGTCAGCTCTCTGTGATGGCAATAGCGTCTTTCAGTTATAGGATGAAGGGGGAACAGCTGGGATGGGAGGCAACAGCTAGGATTGAGATAGCAGTGGTAGGTGGGGATTTAGTGTAGACAGAATGAGCAGTGAATGGTGGTAAGCAGGAGGCAAGAATGATCAGATTTGAGGTCAGGAGTCCTGCACTGGCTGACTGTAGCTTACACTATTTGTATTTGAAGAAGATCACTCCAACTTGCTAGCTTAACATTCAAGTAAGTATTGTATAAAAACTCACTTTGACAATTATAGGAAGGTCTACCTGCTAGGCTGCAGCTAGGCCTGATTTTCTTTTGTGTAACTCATTCTAGTGGCCAAACTAATCATAATGGGGGCCTCCAATAAGCATTAGGCCTCCTGTTTGCATAACATTTGTGAAGACGATGATCACTTGCCTGTGCATGACACTCCCTGATAGCAGAATGTAAATGAGGAAGGCAAGAGGCCAAGGATGAACTCCAAAGTGAACTTAAGAAACTCCATTGTCAAAGAAGCTCAAAGTATAATGGATTAATTTAAAATTGAACCAAGTGAAAACAGTCGGAGGCATGCTACCGAAAAGAGAAGAGCTATTGGAGGGGGGTAATGTGATCTATTGTATGGAAGATGGCAGAAAGTTCAAGGAAAATGTTTAGGGATAATGCATAGTCAGAATCCCAGGGAATGTCATTCATGATTTAGATTAGAACTGTTTTAATCTTGAGGGACAGGTGGAAACCTCCTTGGTGTGAATTAATTAAGAAGCAGTTTCCTCTAAAGAAATAAATTGACTGCGTATAACACTTCGAATTTGGTGCATGTATCCATTTAGTACAACATTGAGCCTGGTTTCTTCATTTCTTCGAGAGGAATGTATGTCTATTTTAATTTAACCTACCAATTAGGTTTGAACAACCTAACTTTTAAATCTTCAGGTCTGGAATGATCCCCAATGTGGAGATGAGCAGGGGCAGGGATGGGGAAAGGGTTGTGCCCCTGTAATCCCCATCCTTGCTCTTGTCACTGAGCTCTCGGACCTCCTCTCTCCCCGCAACCTCTACTCCATGATCCTCTACAATCATAGAACATAGAACATAGAACATAGAACAGTACAGCACAGTACAGGCCCTTTGGCCCACGATGTTGTGCTGACCTATTATCCTACTAAGATCAAACTACCCTGCATACCCCACATCTTACTATCATCCATGAGCCTATGGATGATTTAATGTCCGTAATGTATCTGACTCCACTACCATCGCTGGCAGCACATTCTACACACACTTCACTGTGTAAAGAACCTACCTCTGCTATCTCCCCTATACCTTCCTCCAATCACCTTAAAATTATGCCCCCTCATTATAGTCATTTCCACCCTGGGAAAAAGTCTCTGAGTATCCATTCTATCTATGCCGCTCATCATGTTGTACACCTCTATCAAGTCACTTCTCATCCTTCTTAGCTCCAAAGAATAGAGCCCTAGCTCCCTCAGCCTATCCTCATAAGACCTGCCCTCCAGTCCAGGCAGCATTCTGGTAAATCTCCTCTCTAAAGCTTCCACATCTTTCCTATACTGAGGTGTCCAGACCTGAGCACAATATTCCAAGTGTGGTCACACCAGAGTTTTATAGAGCTGCAGCATAACCTCACAGCTCTTAAACTCAATTCCCCTGCCAATGAAAGCCAACACACCATATGCCTTCTTTACAACCCTATAAACTTGGGTGGCGACTTTGAGGGATCTATGGATGTGGACCCTAAGATCCCTCTATACCTCCACACTGCCAAGAATCCTGCCATTAGCCCTGTATTCTGCATTCAAATTTGACCTTCCAAAATGAATCCCTTCACACTGTTCTGGGTTGAATTCCATCTGCCACTTCTTTGCCCAGCTCTGCATCCTGTCAATGTCCTGTTGCAACCTACAACAGCCCTCCACGCTGTCCACAACTCCACCAACCTTTGTGTCATCGGCAAACTTACTAACCCACCCTTCCACTTCCTCATCCAAGTCATTTATAAAGATCACAAAGCGCAGAGGTCCCAGAACAGATCCCTGCACAACACCACTGGTCACCGAGCTCCAGGCTGAATACTTTCCATCTACTACCACCCTCTGTCTTCTATTGGACAGCCAGTTTTGATTCCAGACAACCAAATTTCCCTGAATCCCATGCCTCTTTACTTTCTGAATGAGCCTACCATGGGGAATCTTATCAAATGCCTTGCTAAAATCCATGTACACCACATCCACTGCTCTACCTTCATCAATGTGTTTTGTCACATCCTCAAAGAATTCAATAAGGCTTGTGAGGCATGACCTGCCCCTCTCAAAGCCATGCTGACTATTTCTAATCAAACTGTGCTTTTCCAAATAATCATAAATACTATCTCTCAGATTCCTCTCCAATAATTTGCCCACAACAGACGTAAGACTAACCGGTCTGTAATTTCCAGGATTATCCGGTATATCCCGTCTGGCCCAGGGGACTTGTCTATCCTCACGTTTTTCAAAATTTCTAACATATCCTCCTTCCTAACAATCAATCAACCTCCCCCGAGTTACTTACCTTCATGGTCCTGCTGGCCTTGAATGCTGCCAGCTGCCTGGGTGGCTGAAGAAATGCTGCTACTTAAAATCATTGAGTGGGACGTTGCTGACCCATGAACTGAGAGTCTGAGAAGCTCACCCACTGACTACTTAGGTACTAGATTGGCCTCTTACCATGGTTTATGACACATGTTAAGTTTGAGTTCTGTACAGATTGATCAAGGAGAAGGCAAAGTCAAGAGCTGCCTCTAGGCCTTGACTTCAAAGTAAAGCAATTTATTGTCAATGATTACTAAATATTGCTATACATGGTAATCATAGATATACCAATGTCTGACATCATTACATTACGGAAGGATTCATCTATCTTCTTATGTTCCTGCCCATAATGTAATCTGGTTTGGTGCAGAGATCAAGACAATTTTAATTCTGCCTGCGCTCTGACATTTCTACTCAGTGATGTGCAGCTCTATGACACCATCATGAGTTTGCTCCAGGGCCCAATTACCCTTCATAACATCTGTCCCCAAACCTTATTCCTTTCATAATGTAAATTGTATACATTCTCAAATGAGTGACTATAATTACTTTGTTCTGCAACATTTACTGTACATTTCTTTTTTCCTTATCTTTCTTACCACTCCCAGGTGTTTGTCTTGATTAATTTATGCCGATAGTTGGGTAAGGAAAGTCTTTAACAAGGTATAGAAACATTTGAGATAATGTTGATGATCTTGCATTTTCTCTGCTGGCTGCCATTAGATCAGAGATTCAATCGATCTGGCTGAATGTTCTTGCAGTGATGTAACTGCAGAAGTGTATTAGAATTACAAGCTAGTTATATTTCTTCTACTCCCTTAGTAACATTGGATACAATTGTCAGTTGTCCTAGGAATAAATGAAGTAGACCATTCATACAATATGGTTCTTCAAGTGAAGCTTGTTCCCTTGCAGTATTGACACGTTCTTCAAGATTGGGTGAAAGTACATGTTGGGTTGGGAATGATTTGATTTACTGCATGTTATGTTCTTCAGACTGCAGCACATCAAGAAATTACCTCTTTTGGGGCAATGAGTTTTTTTTTGCAGCCAGATTACAGTCAGTGTTTTTAATAACAGTTTTATCTCTGCTGATATGGAGTTCTAGAACGGCACCTGGAACAAGATATTGTAACATTAGATTACTTAGGATTTCATGCTGATGTTGTCACATGCAGTATATTATTCAGATGAGAGACTTGTCCCCCCT